TAGCGAGGCGCGGGAGCAACACCGAGGGTTGCGATCCCGTTGCCGGTCCCGGTCCGGTGCGGGTGCGGGGTCGACACTGAGGGTTGCGATCTGTTGCCGGACACGGAAAAAGACAAAAAAAAGGAAAAAAAAAAATTAAAAACTTTCATGCTGTAAATGCATGAAGAAAGTGAAAAGACAACCCATAGAGTGGGAGAAAATATTTGCAAATCGTAGATCTGATCAGGGACTTGGATCTAGAATATATAAAGAACTCTTACAACTCAATAATAAAAAGCAAATAGCCCAATTTAGAAATGAACAAAGAATCTCAAATTTTTTTCCAAAAAAGATATACTACAAATCATCAGTAAGCGCATGAAAAGATGCAAATCAAAACCATAGTGAGACACTGTGTTGCGGGAGCCCCAAATCTGAGAGAGCACTCATATAGTGTTTGCCTATTCCAAAGAATTCACCTGGGCCAACAGGTAGAGACATCAGTTTATTAGACCTACGGGAGTTGCTGACAGTGGCTGGCCAGCTAGAAATCCATGCTACCATGGGGTATACACAACAGTTATATAGTGAACAGATCAAAATAAAGGTGTAAATCATTTGCATGCTTATGCATAGACCCTCTCCCAATTCAGAGTGCTTGGGAGATCTGGCTGAGTAGATAAGTTAATCCACTGCTGCTTTCCTGGAGCCAGAGTAGTTTCACACCAGTTGTGCTAACTTACTTAGGGTCCCTGCTTCCTCCAGTCTTCCATTTGTCTTAAAGGGGATGTTTGTCTTGAAGGAGATGTGCCTTTCCTTGGGTAACTACCTTGGCCAGGAGTAGTTTCCCAGGACAGAGAGGGAACTCTGGTATGCACAGGGAGGGGAAATAGGTCAAAGTCCAGCATTTACCCTACATTCCACTCCTACATACTATTCACCCTCACAGTCTTCACATCACATTAATCTTCACAATGTCAGCATACCGGATCGGTATCCCCTATGCTTTGGCCACTTGCCAGTGTCTTTTGTCCAGCATGTTTCATTTTCTTGTGTAACCAGACAGCCACATCTTCAGTGGGGGCTTCTAGCTATGGGCCAGGGGGTCGGCCTCATCGTTGCCTGGGCTGCCCAGTGGGTTGTGCCCAGGCACATGATACACAGTCACTGATTTATGTTGGCTGATCGCATATGACAGTTGGTATGTGATGGCTTTCCATTAAGGGGGGTGCCCTCTACAGGAGCCAACAGTATACCAAGCCTCTTCTGGCACTGGCAGCACCCCTTCCTTAATGGGCGAGGGAGTTCATATCGTGGGTTCAATGTGCACATCATCTGAGTCCACAAATGTGACAGGTCCCAATAATAGCTGCCGTTCGTGGCTCAAGGGACTTGTAGATAAGTTACTGCGTTGTTGTAAGTAGGCTTGCCACTTGGTTACCATAGTAGTCGTCTGAGCACTGGAACTCCAGGGTTGCGTGGAGATGTCATGAATCCATCTAGCAATTGGCAATCCAGTCCTCACTGTCACAGCTGCCTGTCCGGTGACCAATTCTGTGGCTAGCAATGCTTGATAAACAGCGTTTACTTGTTATTCAGTGGGGCTTTATCAGGCCTCTGCTCCGTTCCATATCTGGAACCAAAACCCTATGGGGAGGCAAACTTTCCCTTGTCATTGCCATAACCCCCAAGCATAGTCCTCCTGGGAAATAATTTGGTCCAATTCACAGGGTAGTACTGGATTCAGAAAGCTTATCTGGCAGGGGCTGGAACCATTTCTCTTTGGGCAGCTGTTATCACAATTTAAACAAGGTCACATTTGGGTGCTTATCAGTTTTGGGGGGATTGACCCCTGCCTTAGTCAGGTCCACCCACAGCTGTTTTCTGGTAACTTTCACTGGTTCTTTCTGATTTCCCTTTTTCCCTCTCGGTATGACTTCCTTTACCGTGCAAATCCCTTTCTTTTGTCATACAATTTCAGTTTTCCCTAGATCAGCTATGGCTTGTGCTGCCCTTTGAACTAATTGCCCTATTAGGAGTGACAGAACAGATACCAATGTTCCATAGCAGCTACCGGGAGCCGTCTGTATAACCCTGTCTTTCATTCCTGCAGTAAATGGCACCAAGTCCAGACCGTGGAAGGAGTCTCAGTAAATAGCATGTCTCATACCCAATTCCCTAAGGAATTCTTGCAACTCTTCCATAGTAGACTACCAAGGGGACACTCCCAGAATGCTCCCTTCATCAGGCCATGTGGCACGGCAACCTGCCACGATCCAAGTCAGCAGGGAGGCATTTTCTTCATATTACCCTGCTCCGTAAATGCGCTACCGGAGAAAGGGATGATTGGTGACCAACGCCATTTTTACCAGTTCATCCCCTGACAATATTATGCCATCAGCCCCCATGTCCCACAAACAGAGCAGCCACCTGGGACTGCTTTCTCTCCCTTTCTGTCAAAACTTAGTAGCCAGTTCTACTAGCTAGGCTGAAGTGTAGGGGTGGGTGCTTATATGAATATGTTTTAGCGGAAGAGATAAATCTTGGGTGTTTTGCCCTTCTGGTCGCCCTTGCCTAGTCTTAAGCTTTTGTATTATTACTGGTCTACCCTGAATTAAACAAGCTTCTATCTAAGCTTAATTCTTCCCTTAACCTTTGTCCTTGGCTCCGCTACCTGAGCCCACAGAGGAGAGGCCATGCAGCCACAGCAGCCATAGCTTTGTATTCCTTTTCCTTCTGAATACCTCCTCTTTCCTAGACTGCCTTCAACACCTCCAGCAGTCTTGCTGCTGCCGGCATTTTTGGGACATCCTTATACTCACGAGGCAGTCCCCAGCTATTTACCAAGCTGGCAATATCAGACCACATTGAACCAGTGGCCCACCCCGGTATTTCCTCCTGTGACATTCTTCCTGTCCCCTTCATCTCTCCCATTGGCGCTCCAAGGTGGCGTTTCTCTAGAATAGCCTGCCACCTATGCCAGTTGTATCATGGGAGCCCCAAATCTGAGAGGGCACTCACATAGTGTTTGCCTGTTCCAAAGAACTCACCCAGGCCAATAGGTAGAGACATCGGTTTATTAAATTTACAAGAGCTGCTGACAGCAGCTGGCCAGCTGGAAATCTGCACTACCACAAGATACATACAACAGTTATATAGTAAACAGATCAAAATAGAGGTGTAAATCATTTGCATGCTTATGCATAGACCCTCACCCAACTAAGAGTGCTCGGGAGATCTGGCTGAGTAGATAAGTTAATCCACTGCTGCTTTTCTGGCGCCAGAGTAGTTTAACACCAGCTTGCTAACTTACTTAGGGTCCTGCTTCCTCCAGTCTTCCTTTGTCTTAAAGGGGGTATTTGTCTTAAAGGAGACTTTCCTTGGGTAACTACCGTGGCCAGGGGTAGTTTCCCAGGGGGAAGGTGTAACGCTGGTATGCATGGAGGGAAGAATAGGTCTGTGTCCAGCATTTACCCTACAGATACCATTACACATCCACTAGGGTGATGAATCAAAAAGACAAATATCACAAGTGGTAGGAAAGTTGTGAAGAAATTGGAACCCTCATACTCTGCTGGTGGCATTGTAAAATGGTACAGCTGCTTTGGAAAACAGTCTGGCAGTTTCTTAACAGGTTAAACATGGAGTAACCATATGATCCAGTAATTCTACTCCTAGGTATATACCCAAAAGAAGTGAAAATATATGTGCACACAAAAATTTGTGTATGTATGTTTGTATCAGTATTATTTCTAATAACCAAAAAATAGAAACAACTCATGTCCATCAACTGAAAAGTAGATAAACAAAATGTGGCATATTTATACAATGGAATATTATTCAGCTGTCAAAAAGGAATAAAGTATTGATACATGCTACAATATGGATGAACCTTGAAAACATTATGCTGAATGAAAGAAGCCCCTCACAAAAAAGCACATATTGTATGATTCCATTTATATGAAATATCCAGAATAGGCAAATGTATTGAGACAGAAAGTAAATTAATAGTTTTCTAGAGCAGGAAAATGTGGAATGATTGCTAATGGGTATGGGTTTGTTTTGGGGGTCATGAAAATGTTCTAAACTTGATTGTGACAGTTGTACATGAATATACTATAAATATACTAAAAAACATTTTATTATACACTTTAAATGGTGAATTGTATGGTATGTGAATTATATCTCAATAAAGTTGTTATTTTTAAAAAGATTATTGCTGGGGTCACCTTGAATACCATGTTCAGGAATTTGAGATTTGTTTTATAGATAAAAAGGAAAAGCCAAAGCTGGAAAGGAATGATGGTGGTTAAATAGGTTAATATACACTGAATGCTTTCAAAAGGGCTTGGCATATAAGGACTCCATATGTATTGTTGTTATTGTTATTTTAGATCTATGTTTTAGGAAAATCTCTCAGGCAATAATGTGGAGAATGGATTAAAGGGTAAGACTGAATGCAAGATTATTTGGGAGACATTTGTAATTCAGGCAAGAATTGATGAAGCCAGAACTGTGATAGTGGGGATAGATTTGCAGTACTATTTCAGGAGAGTGATTTTTTTATTATCATTCTAGGAATTTCTCATTGGTTACAATTTATTTTGCTCCCCTTTCTTCTTGGCAGAAGCAGTACCACAAGAAGCCAGGCATCACGCCATGAAGAGCATGTGCAGAACATCCGCCTATTTCATGAATCCCTGCAGCAGGGAGAGGCAGTATTGCCAAGTGATAACAAACTGACTGCATCACCCTTGTCCTCCCAGACCTCTCTTCTAACTTCTCTCAGGTTAGGCTCTCTTCTGAGAAAAGACACAGGAACCATTGTGGTGCACAAGGTGAATGGGCAATGGCAGCATGCAATACTGCTTTTCCATCAGCTGCTGCCATTCTGGGGAGTTTACTAGAGGGCTCTCGTGCATGTTAATATCAGGTTGGGCCCTGGAGCCTCATAGGATTCCTCATAATTGAATCTGTCTCAGGTTGGGGACTTCCATTCTTTCAAAGGGCTCTATTACTGATCTACCTATAAATACAGGAACTTTAGGTTGTTCACCAAAACTTAATAATAACCACCCTCACATCTACACAGCCTCACATCCTCTTTACAGTTGACAAAGCTTCATCCTGCCCTGTCTTTATCCTCACAACCACTGACTTCTTCCAGACCAGAACCTGTCCCATTAATGTTTCCCTCTTCCTTTCTTAGTTCAGTTACCATCTGAGCCATTCACGTAGGTTATCTAGTGAGAAGTGTGGTGCTGTGTAAAGGCCTTGGCTTCAGAGTCAGATAGACTTGACCTCCAATCCTAGCTCTGTCACTCCCAGTGGGGGAGATAACCATGTTGCAAGATAATTATTATGCAGGGTGCTAAGAGGGGCAGGTTTCCTGTCCAAGAGTAGACAATGAGTAACATTCTGGATTGGTCATGGAAAGATTTAAAGTCACATTTCAACTAGTCTTCAAAGGAACAGGTCAGACAAATGTGAAGGACATTCTGTGCAGAAAGAACATATACCAAGGCCCAGAGGCATGAAATAACAAGTCAGGTGTGGGGAAATGCCAGCAGTGCAGTAAGGAGAAAGCTGAGCATAACGTATAAGGAGGAGGTCAAATTCTGTAGGGCTCAGATCATGAAGGGCCTTCAATATCAGGTTAAGAGTTTGATTTTTAGAACAGTTATTCTCAAGAGAAAAGTGATGGGGAGGGAAAGAGGAGAGTGTGTAAAGTTTAAGGAAAAAACATTTAAAATATTTTTTATTTGAAAAAAGGCTGGGCCGGTCCGTGGCTCACTCGGGAGAGCGCGGTGCTGATAACACCAAGGCCCCGGGTTCGGATCCCATATAGGGATGGCCGGTTCGCTCACTGGCTGAGCGTGGTACTGACAACACCAAGCCAAGGGTTAAGATCCCCTTACTGGTCATCTTTAAAAATAATAATAATAATAATAAAAAAAAAGAAAAAAGGTTAACCACGGGCTGGCTGGTTAGCTCAGTGGGTTAGAGCATGCTGTTATGATGCCAAGGCTAAAGATTCAGATCCCCATACCGGCCAGCCACCTAAATAAATAAATAAATAAATATAAATAAATAAATGAAAAAAGCTAGCTTACCCTTTGGCTTCATAATGCAAACTCACAAAAGAAACATCAGCAAAATCGTTTTGGTTAATGAGACCTGTTAAAAAAAGGATTGAGCAATAGTGCTATAGCTGTGGGAAACTACCCAAACATATTACAAAAAAGTAATGTGTTCAGATTATCTTCTTCAGATTAGTAAAATGCTGGAGATGGAGGCTTTTTAAGTAAAACCGTTGGTGGTAAAACCTGCATTTTCTTGGGTTATTCACATAACATATTTGGAACCTCTCAGTCAGCACTGTTGACATTCGGGGCCATCCTATGAGTTGTGGGAAGCTTAGCAGAGTCCCTGGCCTCTATGCACTGCATACCAGTACCACCTTTCCCCCAGCTGTGACAACCAAAAATGTCTCCAGACATTGCCAAATGTCCCCTGGTGGGGCTAACTCACCAGGGTGAAAACCTCCACCTTGCAGCAGAGGTGTTCAAAATTCAGTGTGTATCAGAATCACATGAAGGGCTTATTAAAACACTGATTGGGCCGGCCCAGTGGCGCACTGCGCTAGTGCGCCGCTTGGGAAGCGCGGAGGCGCTCCCGCCG